TCATAGTCATTGATATTATCTCCACATAGTTTCAATTTAGAAGTAATTCTGAACATCACCAAATTGTATTCAGAAATGAACTTAAAGTCTTAGAGCCTCAGATGAGCCCAATCATATCGTGCTTGTGGAAGTATGACCAACTTTAAGTTGTCATATCTTTCCTTTAAGTCATTCCATAAAATAAGTGGATCTTTAACCGTGAGATATTTTATTTTTAACCCTTCATCAAGGTGATGGCGCAAGAAAATTAAGGCCTTAGCACAATCTTGGGTAGATGCTTTATTTTTATCTTTAATGGAGTCTTCAAGACCCATTGCATCTAAATGGATTTCAACATCCAACACCCATGATATATAGTTCTTGCCCGAAATTTCAAGGGCAACAAAATTTTGTTTTATAATATCAGTCATAGATAAAAGGGGAGAAAAATTATAGCTTAGTCTTCTCAAAGATCTTCTTGAGACGGTAGAGTCTCGTGCAGATAACGTGAAATAAAATAATAAAGAAAAGAAGAATATTGTAGAGAATTCTATTGATTTTGAGATGAATTACAATGGGATAAAATTTTCCTATTTATATGGAAAAGTAACTTAATCACAAAGTAACAAACTCTTTGAAAGATAGACATTCACCTAGAATACAATTCTATTTATAACATATGTGAAATTTTAAAGAAAATGTGATTTTTAGCTTTAAAAGTGATTAGAGTTGACCACTGTCATCATTTTTGGTAAACGAACTCGAATAAGAATTTTGACAATTCAGCTGGTTTTGTGTGATATTTTTAGACTTGTACGCATTTTTGGTTGGAGTCCCGGATGACCTGAGGCCGTTTTAGCGCATTGTGTAAAATGTTGGAAAATGGCTGATTATGTTGAAAATCTTGAGTTTTAATTATTGATTCGTGATATTTGATATTATTTTGATGATTTGAGTTAGCGAACGAGTTTGTATAATATTAATACACTTGTGTGAATGTTCGGATTGGAGCCCGAGGGAATCAGGTGAGTTTAGGATGTTTTTCTGATAGTTTTAGCTAAGTTGAGAGCCGTTGAAGAACATCTGGTGTGTGGTGAACCTGCAGATCTTGCATTTGCGAAGACCTATACGCAATTGCGAGCCTCGCATTTGCGATGTAGGGCTCGCATTTGCGATATGGGAATAGGAGAATGTGACCTTCGCTTTTGCGAAGCATCTGTCGTATTTGCGAACAATGGGGTTCCTCATTTGCGACGTTTGTGTCGCATTCACGACACTAGGGACTTTATATTCTTGTTTTAATCTCGAATATCGTCCCGCAATTCTCATATAAGGCTCGTACCTATTTTACTAGACCTTCTTTCCGATTCTGAGCATCTAGACCCGAACCTTTCCTCTACCTCTGGCTGAGACATCGTGTCTTCTTCTATTCGCAATTTGTGTTATAGCTGTTATATACGTCATTCCAAGTGGTTGCAGGAAATTCTCACAAACTTTCTTTTAATCTTCTTATGGCTTTTGAACTTTTCTCATTCAAATTATTTGCAAACTCCATAGCTGCCCAGTTATCAGGTACACGCGGTAACATCATCCTCTCCCGCTGGAATCTATCTACGAATTCCCTAAGTAATTCCGTACTTTCCTGCTTCATTTTGAAGATATCTTCCATCCTCTTCTCTATTTTTTGAGCTCCTGAATGTGCTTTTATAAATGAATATGCAAGCTCAGCAAAAGAATCAATAGAAATTTTAGGTAAGAGTGAATACCGCATTAATGCTGCTTTTGTGAGGGGTTCGTCGAATATTTTCACCAAAATTGATTCAATTTCCTACTTAGTTAAGTCATTGCCCTTCACTCCTGTGGTAAATGCGGTAATGTGGTCTCGCGGGTCAGTAATTCCATCATACTTAAGAATATCAGACATTTTAAACTTTTTGGGAATTGGCAATGGTGATGCACTCGGTTTTCAGGGTTGTTGCGAATATTTGTCAATATTCACTCATTTGATCACGGGTGGTACTCATGGTATCTATTCTATTCGCTCATTTTGTTCCTTGAGCTGTTTCTGAAGGGTTAGTACCAAATTTTACAAATTAGAATTATTTGGTGTATCTGACCCTCCGGCTCCAAAATCGTTTATCATTTTCCCATTTTCAGAGTTTTCAATACCTGAATGAGGGTTTTTTTAGAGTTGTATTTATAGGTGGTGGAGCCTGCACAACATTGGAAAATCCATTTGCAAAAGTACGCAAAGCTTCACCAACTTGCTGAGCAATAAGCTTCCTCAAATTGTCTTGCTCGTTTGTTTACTCATCAACTTGTTGTCCAACATTACGATTAGCAGATCTTTTAGACTAATTGTCTCGTGAGCATTATGAAGTCACTGTGGGTGTATGGTGTGGATGAGTTCCACCTTGTTGCCTTCCTTGAACTCCCTCACCCACCCGAACAATTTTGTTAGTAGTAGACATACTTTGTTGCTAAAGATAAAATATAGAAAGTGAATAATTCCCGGTAACAGAACCAATTTGTTTAACCAAAAAAAATAGTTTTTGTGGTCAAAGTTAATATTAGAATAAATCGGGTTTCTAATAACCAAGTTTACTTTACTTTTTTAAAAATAAAAGAGTAAAAAGTAATTGAAATTTAGTGTTCGATAAACAAAGGAAAAGAAATCTTATTGATGATTGTTGTTTCCACCCAAAAATTGTGAGTAAGAATCTTCAATCAAGCAGAGAAGTTAAAGTAAAAGACATATTGCATATATTTGTGAATTTCTTGATGATCGTAAAAAAATAAGTTAAGAGGCGCTTATATAAGGATACAAAGTGTAGCTATTTTACCTTTCCATAATCGGGTATTATGCTGATTCCCTTTCCATATCTGTAACTGCCAATGAATCTTCCTCTCTTTTAGTCATGCATCCCGCGCTTATCTCTTCTTTTTCAGTTGTCAGATACGGTATTTTTTATAATTAATCCCGTGGGTATTTTAACCATGCATCATCACTCTTCTTTATTGATCTCATTCTAAATGAGAAGCAATGATCCCCAATTTATAGAAGTCCAAACTTTTTCCTCCAAGAAAAGGGACTAGTCAAATATGAGAGATTTATAATTTTCTTCTAGGAAAAAAAAATCAATTATGATAAGTATGTTATCCTTTCATTCAAGATATAGGAAAATCAAATATGATAAGAAAATATGGACAAACACCTAACATAATTAACATAATACTATCACTTTACCTCAAAGGATTAAGGTTGTAATTAAGTGAATCTACTCATTTTAAAGCGTTATCATTAAGATTTTTTTTTTTGTTTGGAAAAGATGTTACTATAATTCATAGTAATAAAATTGAGAATACTAGCAATGAAAAGCTAATATATTCTGGCCGTTGTTTTCAATAATTTCATAAAATTTTAAGGGAAGGATATTTAAAACTCCCTAATGCACCTTAAATTTGGCAAAAAGATGAAAGTGAAGTTAAAATTTCCATGAAAAGAATTAAAGAAACTTGAAAACAACTAATCTGGTTAGGAAGACAGCTATGAGGTAGTGACCCATCATTGGTGAGGCTATACTTCAATAATGACTCACTTGGACACTCTGTCAAAATACGGGCAACGGGTAGCTCGCTTAATTTTCTTTCAGGTCATATTATGATTTAATTTAGACAAGAGGGGTTGCTATGATGGTAAGCAACATTCACTTCCAATCAAGATGTTGTGAGTTTGAGTCACCCAAGAGCAAGGTGGGGAGTTCTTGGAGGGAAGGATGCCGATGGTCTATTAGAAACAGCCTCTCTACCTCAGGGTAGGGGTAAGGTTTGCGTACACACTATCCTCCCCAAACCCCACTAATGAAATTATCAACTTTCGTAGAATTTCCCTCATTTTAAATCCAAAATATATCGTTCTGGATTACAGATATTGGCAGCTTTACTCATACTTATTTGATATAATAATTCACAAATCATTAACTTAAAATACGTGCATAACGATTGTGATTGTTACTGAATTAAGTAATTACTCATCCATTTATTAAGATATTTAAATGTTTATTGATCCTCTTGCTAAATGTTCATTAAGACCATTAAACTCAAAGCTGTATGACAGAAGGCAACCTTCTATTTTGACAATAAGCAATTAATTTCTTTGCTAAACTTTGTTCTACCATTCATAGAACAACAATAAAGATGACAATTTTTTTTACCAAAATTAAACATATAAATCACACTAATATGGGTCTAATCATAAGAAGATTTTACTTAACTTTGATGAAGGTGAAGTGTTTTGATTTGTCTACTCATTTTTTCACCTTAAGAAACATTTCTAAATGAGAATGTACAACACATAACGGACACTAATTAAGTTGAAACATTTCTATGTGATTTTAACTTAATCACATTAAGTTAAAATGCATTTCATAACATAACAAAATTCTTTCTTGACACTTGAGATATATAATAACCGTATTAATACCAACAAAAAAAAAAGGTCACTCATTGTGCAATTATTTTAGGCAATAAAAATCAAATCGCGTAGTACAACGTCCAAAGCATCATATTTTATGTTAGACACTTCTTTTATAATCTTTTTTATTTTTAAAAGAAAAATATTTATATATGTTAATTACTATCTGGTAACCCATTGTAGTTGATAAAAAACACAATATAAGAATTGTGCTAGTATGAATATAATCCTTCTACCCTTAATCTGAAGTCTCGAATTCAATTTTTGGTATGAAAAAAGTCTGATAGAAAACGTTTTTCTTAACGGACAAAACATGAATCCAAATTAGTCAAGACTCCGATACAACTACTGAACGCAGTGAAAACCCCAAAAGAATATTAATTTGATTTTCTTTTATTCTATACTCACCACCACATGAGAGAGAAATGAAAAAGAGAAAAAAATAAAAAGGATAAGAAAAATAATCATCTCGGGCAGCTAACCTGCCCGAAGTTACTGTTCACTCCCTCAGCTACCCTCTGCACCTATATATAAACCTCACTAATCTCTGAGTCCCATAACTTCCTACGCTGTCTCTACAAATTCTCTTGAGTAATTCCTTTGTTTAAACATTTCACCATTTTCCTTTCAATTTCTGATACTATTTTCATATCCTCATACAAAAATGGAGGCAATGAAGATGAAGCTGTTCGTTGTTGCGGTCATGATGATGATTGTGACCATCTCCGCCGTGAAGGGAGTCGCCGCCGCTGATGCTCCGGCACCTGCTCCAGCTTCCGACGCATCCATTTTCGTCCCCACCTTCTTCGCTTCCTTAATTGCCCTTGCATTTGCTCTTCTCTTTTGAGCTATTTGTTTGGATTTTATGAGCATGTTTTGGTAATTACTATTTGTGAGTTTTGGGGGTTTTGTGGATTTGGGGTTCTTGCTTTGTGACTTTTGACGAATCTTCGTTAATCTATTTATTTATTTATTTCTGAATGTTAGTCATATGTATTTCTGGGTAATATAATGGGAAATTAGGGAATAACCCATAAATATCTTGACTCTGGTCTTGAGTCTGGTGTTAACTTTTATGTAAGCATTTTCTATTTTTATAATTCTATATTTTGGTTTGTGCATTTAGTATACTTGATGTTTTTTATATGCTGGTAAATGTACTTTAAAAAAAAAGCTTTATGATATTCCACAATATTTTATGTTATGATTGTAGTAGTTTTGATAAGTACTTATCTTTATCAAAACTCTTTCCGCAAAAGAAAAGATAGAACATTCTTTAATTTAGTTATCTAAATGAACTCTCCTTTATGAATTTCATCAAATGAACGCTCTAATTTGAATGATTTTAGAGGGAAGTTATCAGCATTAGTTTATACATAACTTTCATATTAAGATTAGCACCATTAATGATATCAGCCAAATATTAGTTACACAACATTGACTGTCAACTACAAATTGGTTAAAATTGAAACCATATTGGTTGAAAATCATACCATTAGTGATATCAGCCAAATATTAGTTACACAACATTGACTGTCAACTACAAATTGGTTAAAATTGAAACCATATTGGTTGAAAATCATACCATTAGTGATATCAGCCAAATATTAGTTACACAAAATTGACTGTCAACTACAAATTGGTTAAAATTGAAACCATATTGGTTGAAAATCATAATGCTGATAATTGAAGAGACAATTTGAATACAATATGAGTTAGGAATAGTATATGATGTTCAAAAACATTTACCAAAAAACGGACATGATTTAGAAGCACTCCCAAAGAAAACACTAACACTAGAGAGAACGAGTATTTAATGGCACGGAAGCTTCAAATTAGTCAAATGCAGTAACCGTTTCTATGGGGCATGAAAAAAGTTTGCCTTTGCGTACAAGTTGGTTAAAACGGTGGCGGAGTCAAAAAATTTATAAGAAAAATTAAAATAAACACATAAGAAAGTTAAAGAAATTTAACATATATTTTATATATATATATATATATATATATATAT